CTGTGCATGCGCTTGGTTTAAAATGTTGGCCTTCCTTTCAAAAGGGCCATTTGGTTAAATTTGTTTCCTCGGGTATTTGGTAAAATTCTAGTATTGGCGAATTAGAGGGGTTCTGGCTACTTTTAAACATCTCTTTAAAGAACAGAGCGTGCTTTAGCTGCACAGGAACACCGGCACGGCTCCTGGGGAAACCCAAACAGACCAAGTGCACTGCCATTGAGGCCATGGCGACTCACGGCGCCGCCACGGACAAAGAGAACAGCCCGTGCGGGTTCCGGAGACTGGAACTGGAGACTCTGATAGCAGGAAAAGCCTCATCTTTCTCCCTGGCTGATGGGAGGGAGTGGCTGATGGTTTTGAACTGCTGAACTTGCAGTTGGCTGCCCACCGCGTACGTACCCATTAGGGCACCAAGGCTCCTTGAAGTCGCTGGGGCCACACTGTTCTGGAAACACAAACCCCTTGTGACTTCCACACTGGCATGTAAACCCATGAGTCTGACAGGATTCCTGGTGGTGCTGTTGGGTAAGCGTTAGACTGCTAACCACGAGGTCCAGGGATCGAGTCCATCAGGCGCTCCGTAGGAGAAAGATGAGGTTGTCTGCTCCTCTCAAGAGGCACAGTCTCGGAACTTCTATGCAATGTCACTAATGAGTTGGAAACTAGTGAATGGCAACAGGTTGGGTTGTAAAACCCGTGCGTCCACAGTTCTACAGGTGATTGGTGACACCGAATGTCCGCCTGTAGAACCTTCTAGGCTAAGGGAAAATGAGCTGACATCAGCTGCTGCAAGACAAAGGTTAAAAACAAATCACTAAACTAAACTCACTGGTATCAAGGTGATGGCACCTCAGAGTGACCTTACTGGGCAGCGGACAGCTGCCCCTTGAGCTTCTAAGACTGTCACCTCTTTATGGGAGTGGAAAGCTCGGCCTTCCTCTCACAGCAGGTAGTTTCGAACTGCTCACCTTTGGAATCACAGCCCAACGCATAACCATTTTGCTACCAGGGCTCCTAGAGAGAGGCTGCCATACAACGCTACACGTACATGCGCGC